AAAATGGCTGGAATCCTAGTCATAATCATTTATAACTAGGGGGATGAAAGAAGAAAATAAGGACAGGAATCAACGTTGAGCCCGATCACCCCACGGTTGGGTAAGCTTAGGTATATTAGGCAGCACTCTTCAGCTAGGGGNNGGGGGGGGAAAGCCCGATGGTATTGCGTACAGGGTTAGAGTGGTAGTTTACCAATGGTGTTTCTCATTGTTGTCGTAGTCAGGAGGCAGCACAAACGTTTGTAGCTGAAACCCCTTGGGAGCCTTAAAAGTGGCTCACTCCTTGTTTACGGGGCTGGTCAGCGAGCAAGCGCTACCATTTGCACCTATTACCCGTATGATTTAGGGTTCGTCTTATTTTACCAAACCCTAGGAGACGTCACTATCTATTTCCCTCTGCTGGGGTGTGTTGGCTTTCTTCAGTTTATTCTGTGAAGATGGATTATAAGTGAGCAGAAATTATTCAGTGAAATAAAATAAAAATAAAAGAGGAAAAAATTTCAAGTGGTTTGAGGTATAACTTAATCTGTAATAAACGTCTTGTGAACACTCTTCCTCCTCTTCGATGCCAAGAAACCAGTTTACCGACAATGTGGCAGCAACGCAGTGGTCTTTGGCTGACGTGATATCAACTGGTTATGCCTGTATAGATCGTTTCATCCTGTGACCGGTAGTTGTGCCTTTGTCTTCACATCCAGTAAAGCAGCGGTAAACGCCTTTGTAGAGGGTTGGATAGCTAGATTCGATTGACCAGCAGTAGTTACCGCCGATGGGGTTTATCATTTCGAGGATTTTTTCGCAGTTCGTTTGGTACATCGTATGCGTCAGTTGCACCCCGCCAGCAACACCCCTACCTTACCTCTCCCTCGATTAGCCGAAAGCTCGCATGTTCTTCTCGAGGAAGAGTTGCGCGCACCACTGCAACATCAATACAGCGGCTCACATAAGTTACTGCGACGCTTAGACAAAGCCTACGTCATATACCGCTACGGTAAACATGAGACCGTCAGTTTTGACCGACTGAAAGCTGTGCATTTGGAGGAAACCGTCACTCCCAACAATGGTCCACCACCTGTTGCGCCACCCGCAACTCCCATCCCAACAAATCCTGCTCCATTTACCCGGGTACATCCCGTGATACCCTCAGAGCAGGTAACTGAGTCCGACCCATCTCATCGGATCACTAGTTGTGGGAGAGTACTTCAGGTACCTGTAAGTTTTCACCTGTGTATTCATATATGCATGCAAAAAACAAAAATCCTTTTGTCATTGTTTTTTTATTTTATTCCACCACGGATCACGTTTTTTCTGTTCGCATATATCCACGTTAAAAAACCTTGCCCTTTTTCTATTGTCTTTTTTCTTCGCCTGATCAATCAGCTTCGACAACGGCTGCTTTTAACTTCTTTCTTCCGTTCTCTTCAAGGCTGTGCCCTAAAAATTAAATAGGAAATCTTCGGCCAAGAAAACACAGAGACCTCGAAACCCGAGAAAAAAACTTCGAGCAGGAGAACACAGCAAGAAATAAGATTGGCACCTTCTCCATCCCTCTCACCGCTCTAGCACAATATGGGTATCAATGATCTTTTTCTGACAACTCCGTTCGTATTATACTGGCTCGTGCCCAGCTGGGACGGTCCTCCTAATTTTTCCTCTGAAGGCAAACGACAACAGGGCAAGTAACAAAACGACGACGGGTCTGCAGACACTCTTCCATGACATTTCCATTGCCCCACATTTCTTTTGTGGACAACCAACCCCTGCCACTTCAACTTGAACCATTTTGACAGGTGATTCCAAATATTTCCGTGACAAGTCGACAAGCGATCATATTTTTTGGACTAGTAAACCACAGCAAACAACGCATGTAACCTTATGGAAGGCTCTCTGTGACCTTCTAGGAGGGAAGCTCTGTAGTGACCAACCAATTCCTATTCTACATGTACCCTTTTTCCCTTGCATCCCATTGTTTTATCACACCAAGTTCACCTCTTTGGTCAGCAAGTGTTAACCTTCAATTTTCTGTACGCTTGCTAACGCTTTCGCACCTCCCATTTTTGCTCTTCAGGTTATCACACTAAAACCGTCCTCCGTTTCATGAATCGTCTTGTTCTGTTCTCTTTACGAACGTTCGCTTGCGATGTAGACGTATTAACTCAGGGCATCAAAAAGCCAGTGCCGACACCAGCAAGATGGGGTACAGCTGCCTAAATAGCAAATTGGTCTACTTCCTCTACTACCTCCTCATTTAGAATGAGGTCGCAGGATGGATAAATCCAGTCCTGTTGCAAGATTTTACACTTGAGAGGTGCAAAACGTGTACAGAACATGGCTACATTAGGGCACAAGTCATCCAAAAAGCTTGCAAGATATCTGCATCTTCACTTTGCGGTAAAACGTTGTCTGCATACTACACACAAGAGAACTTGCCATATGGAAGCAAATCAATGCCGCCATCCTCTCACAAATTAGGGCAGTTTTCATAAACAAACAATGTCAAAGTTGAATAAAAAAAGAGAGAGTATCCCTGACAAAAACCGCTTATCGTTGTTAAATAGAAAGAAATAACTGCTGTATGCTCCAAAGAAGCTAAGGGTAATAGAATTACGCTATCGCAAAATTGAAATAAACTTCTCGGGCTCATTCTCCAAGAACGAGTAGCGCCGAAGTATCGAGCGGTCGACTGAGTCAAAAGCCATATTCAGATAAAGGAATTATCTGTGTTCTTGACGAAGAGTGAAACTTTGATCGAAAGAATCCTTGTAACAGGTGTTGTCACCTATTCAACACTGACCTTCCTCCTTATGACTGAACTCCCAGGTATCATATATTATCTGTGTCTTGAATGGCTCAATCGCACTTTATCTATAGTAAACCTTCAGTTTAAGTACTCATTTTGGTCTGGCTCCGTGAATCTGCACCATTGTTTACCGTTCTGTAACTGAGACCTACGACGGTTTCGTAAGTCGCAAATATGTATCGGTGTGTGCCTATTAGAGAAACAAAATTTCGCCTGTCGTCAACTGTTTTCCTACGTGCTGGAAATTTGGTCAGTCGAAGTTGAGGAATTGCGATTTGTATTTAACATCGTTCGGATTTTCCATAAAGTACAAACCTCAAAAGTGATCTCAAAACAACTTGAAATCAAGAGACAAGTGTTACTGTGAGCGTAATCGAAAGGAGTTGAACGGATAAGAATTGCACGCTCACCGTCACGCTGCATTTGAACGAATGAATTGTGAGCGTTCAGGTCGCGATCAAAATAAATTGGGTCAGTATAAGGCACAAACAAACAAAGTCAAGTAATGGAAAGGAAGAGTAGAAATATAAAGGAGATGGAAGGTCAAATGGCTATGTATGTATGAGGCGGATGGTGTTTGGCAAATGAAACGTGAAATTCACAAATTTGGATCAACGTTGGTTTGTCCGAGGTTTTCGCGAAGGATTTTTACAGATTGATCAGTACGCTACCCAGAAAAATCCTCTCTTGAATCATACGGTCAAAGGAAAAATTGAGGGCGTACCAGTTCTCACTTAAACTACCTAACCCCTACGTTTGTGTCATTCTATTGTGCTTCTCGTCGTTCTCTCTGTATCCGACAGCTCAGGAGGTTAGTCATAAGCCGCTTTTCATGACTCACAGTGCCTCCATTGCTTACCCGGAGGATTTCTCAACTGCAGGTTCCCGGTCTGCTGCGCCTCTTGTCTCTCCAGGTAGCGGATTCGGCAGATGTCTCGCAGAGTCTCGTCAGCCGCCGTCTTCACTTTAATCGTGGGTATGAGTCTGTGTTAGTCCGAGTGGCATTCTTCAATGACTCACAGAGGTCATTCATCTCTTCGTGAGCGTTAGTCTGCAACCAGCACTATGTTACCTAATCGAAAGCTTCCTTCCTTAAGTATCCATTTTGGCGTGCCTGTAGGGTAGACAAGTACCCTCAAACCCACGGCTTCCAGAAAACTACAGCCAAGTAGGCTGCCTGTTTCCAGCCGGTGGAATAATATTTGGTGATTGCTCGGGGTATGCCTAGTCCATGATTTGGTTTCAAAAGTATCAGGTCGTTCGGCGTGATGACATGGCGAATTCGGGTAAAGGGGTCACCAGTTGCTTTTCGGTTACCGCATTCTGTCGACGACAAATGATACATCCGCCGATCGTTCCCTTTATCGCTGCTGTATAACGTGCTATGCAAAATCTTTTCCGGATAGCGTTCAATTTACGGTTAGTGCCCGCGTGCCCGTTTCATACGTGGAGGTAAAGTATAAGCAATGAGGGGACATGGTTTCCGACTGGCGGGATGATAGGATGTTTAGTTTCGAGTGTCAAGGAAGAGTTGTCTAATCTCCCTCCAACGCATAGGAATCTTTCGTCTAGTATGGAGCTTAGTCTACGCAAAGAGCTCCGTTGGATCGCAGTCTTATTTGGGTTCATTATTGTGCTCTCTTCCAACGACGTCGTTTCTAGGGGCAAATGCTGTTGTTGCAGTAGTTTCACGACACCGTTTTCGGTTCTCATTAGGTTGTCGGTCGATAAGGGTCCCACATTTAATTATTCGTTAGGCCAAGACCCGGTCATGATCACCACCATGTGTTTAGACTTTGTCCACCAAGCGACTGAAAGAATCAGTATCTCCCATGTCGAGAAGCATTCCAGTTTCCTCAAAACGGGGGAAGTGACGACTTTTATCAACTTAATGGATGTGGGCGCTGCAAGCAATCTACTCTGGACTTTTGACGCAGCGGTCAGAGATATCAGACCATGGAGCCAATCATGTCGTTTTTCAGCGAGTTCAAGCGTCTGGATGAGTGGTTGGCTGGGTTTTCCGCAGATTTGACTTATTTCCATTAGTGCACTTTGGTCTTTTCATGCAATACCGTCAGTCGATTAAAAACGAGGGTTTTCAACTTAGTGCTGACGTTGTTCACTCAGTGTATCACAATGGCAGAGTCGGTACAGAACGTGAAGCGTTCCTCGACGATATTAAAACACTGTCGCCGCTGCTTTGCTACGCGTACAGCTAGCACTGCCGCGGTCAGTTCGAGGCGGGGTATCGATAATCATTTCATTGGGGTAAACCGTGCCTTCGCAAATAGTAATTCTGTCGGGCGCTTACCGTTCACATGCAGCTAGCATACAAAGGCTACTGCCCCGTTTTGGACACATCGGAGAATAGGTGCAGTTCGGCCTTAGTTGCTTGACTGCTTCTGCTGAGGCAGCGCGGGATCCGTATCTCGCTCAGTCTGACTAGGCTTCTTTTACCATTGCTTACAATCTGCATGGTCCTGCTCGTCCAAGGGTTGATCCCACTCCGCCCTATTTCTACATAGTTGTTGTAGGAGAATCCTCATCGGTAATGGCCACGGTGCGACGTATTCAACCGGTGGTATAAACAAGAAACTGACAATATCAGCCCTTGCCGGGTGGGATTCCACTCTGGTAGCCGAAGTTGAAAGATGAATTCATCCGAATCTGCGCTCTATCCTACCCCCAGAATCGGATCGATAGGGAGTGGCTGTTTGGTAAGGTTGACAGCCCCACTCGATCTGTTGGATTCGGGAACGTTATCTAAAACTAGACGCAAACTGAACAACCACATGTTTGGGTAAGTACCTTACCTTTCCCATTAGGTTTTCAGCTGCACTACCTGTTGCGAAGCTCCTTTTGCGTCGTCGAAGAAGCTCAGTGGGGTTCGTCGACGTGGACGTTATTCTCAACAGTATTTAACACCGAGAAGATGGAATTGTATTTGTAATGTGAAGCTGTTTACCGGTGGGAGAAAATTGGCACAGGAGAGTGATAAAACTGCTACGAATGGATACACGGTCAGCCGATGACTGCTTCCGGACTCTGTAAATTGACTTCAGGCCAATAGAGTATGTAGCGGTCAAAGATGACTAAAACATCCTCTCCATAACCTTGCATTTCCTGATCTTTCTTCGTCATTCTATCATGAATTCTTTCCGAAACAGGTTTCATGCCTGGGAACTTCATATTGTGAACATTCTATTTCACCTATTTACGGTGAAGCATATCTATTGGACATACGCCTCACGTGATTTGTGCTCAAATGTAAATGGGATTCAGTGCTTTTTCTGGTTTTATTACGACCGAAGTTTTGATTAGACGCTCTTTGTTGGACTTACCGTTGCTTTTGGTTGTATTGAACTCCTTTTAGCTATACCGCACAAGCTTATTTTGCTTGGCATGTTGAAGCGTGCAGAAATTTCCCATTAGTCTAGAATTATCTGAAAGACAATTAAAATCACTCATTGTCCTTTTAACTTTTTATTATCGTAGATAATTCCTGTGAATATTTGTAACCTTTTGGCTGGAGAGTGAATCAGGCTCACTATCAGAGGTATGAATGCCTTATGTATTTTGTGATTATTGCCAAAATAGCACCGTAGATTACTTTTCGATTCACTTGGTTCTCGATCATTTTAGCTACGCATTGCTCTGAGGTTTGGTCATCGTTATCCAGAAGGAGCGAAAGGGTCATGTGATTGAACGCATACAGACGAGGTCTTTTCGTTTTGCTCGAACCAGGAATATTGCGGTTTGGTCGTTACATGGCATTCGCAGGGCGTCGCGTTGATCCCTGGTATCTCATTTTGAAGGAACATTTCTCGTATGTCGGCGGCCACTGCAACTGCCTCTATCCGGAATCGGGTGAGTTCATCGATCA